TACGTTTTTAAACGCAGACATGAAGCACAAAATAAGGCAAAGGTGCTTGGCATAGAATTTAATTAAAACTCTAGGGATTTTGAAGGCAAATAAGTACAGGTTCCTCTTTTTTAGGAATTACATAAAACTTTGGATGAACTATGGAAAACAGCGAAGAGAGATGAAGCAAAATACAATTGATAATTGTAAGAAATGTTAAATGAAAATTTTCATTTAAAATATTACTTATGAGGCAAAAAAATTAGTTCTAAAATGGATAGTCAAGCAAAGCAATCCGAAACTAAGTTTTATGAGGTTTATTTATGAATTAGAAATCTGTTATAACAATAATATTTAAAATACTGAACGCATAAAGCTGGAAATTTTTTAAAATAATTCTTAAATATTGTTGAAACATTTGCTTTTAGTATTACGAGCCATTAGGATATTATCATATAATTTTACTTTCGTACCTACGATTCAGAATTCGAAACTGTATTTTAATGTTGCCCATTGATAATGTATCTTATCAGTATTAAACTGTTAAACTTAACATGAAGCTCAGTGTCAAAATCTTTAAACTTGTCATTAGCATTTACAGGATGCAAAGCGAAGCACTTAAAAACTCTTATTCAGTCTCAAATTACTCGATGCTTGATAATGCTTCTTATCAGTAATATATTGCGAATGATCGTTTTTCCTTACAAAAATATATTTTTTCTATTATCAGTATTATACGCATTTCAAAATATTTTGTATTTAACTATTTGCATGTTTGCTATTTGCTGACGAGAAACTGCTATGAAATTTTAAGTTCATATCTTACCAGCATAATATGTATATTTACAGTAAGTCCGTTCATGAGTGCTACTTCACTGGCTTTTGCTCCTGGAAAGTAAAAACTGAATGTTATGAAATGAATTCAAAATATAATATTACACAACAAATTTCTTTTAATAAGCTACCATAAATGAATAATGTAAGAAAAATAACATATACACTTTCAGGGAAATAAATTATAGTACATCAATAGAAGTTCACTTAAGAAAAGAAAACGCATTTGAAAGAAATTATATTGCATACCTTCCACTAAGATTATCTTAAATTGTATCTAAATTTATACATTTACATTTTAGGTTTATTTAATAACATGTTATATTTGTTTCAAGTATGTGACGAAAGCAAGATTAAAACACTAATTTGTCATACGATGAAGATCAGTTCTTAACTTGAAAAAGCGACTTTCGAGAGGGTTCAGGCCCTTTATATGCCAGGGCAACCGTATGGAAGGTTTATTTTCGTCTGCATAATTGATTGATTACTTACTCGGGATGAAATATAAATTTTCGATTCCTGCTTAATTAATTACTTAGTAATGAAAAGGAAAATTCAACTTGCATAAGGGTTCCCCGGCATAAAATTTCTCAACCCTTTTGAAAGCTGCTTCTTTTAATTTAGAAACTGATATTTATAAAGCTGCTCTCATCTTCATGCCGGTACGCTGTTATGAAGATTTCTATCTTTTCGAACAGTGGCTGATAAGAATAAAGATGCATTCAGCTTTATAACAAGGCACCATTATATAATGGTCTATTAAATCCATGCTACATTTAAAGCACACCGTAACAGCCTTTTCAGTTATGGAGCTAGTATGATAACCTCTAAAACTTTTCATAAATTTTTAGTGTATGTTATCACGAATGCTAGTAAGCTAATAAACAAATCTAATAATTTTTCTTTGTTTAAAAATAATAATAACAGTAATATTATGAGAAATAAATATTATAAGAATTTTTATAAACATTTTTCTCTTCTCTGATCTTCTTTTGTGCCTCAATTCGGTAAATATACATGAGTTTTCTTTTTTCTCCTCTTCCCTTCTAACTATTCGCTTTCCTTTCGCCACCCCTAATTAAAATAAAGAAATATGTGCATTGCTATTTAAGCACTTCTTGTGGTTTATAAAATGATTATAACATTAAAAATGTTAAAGATTAATATTTAAATATGAGTGACAATCCTTTTCTTGATGCATAATGTAATTTGGGTTCAGTTATGCAAATAGTTTTTGTTGAATAATCAGAGTATGCTAGCGGTTTACTATAGCTTTTACTATTTCTGACGTATTAATTAAAGTATTAATTCTGAAGTGTTACTAAAATCTTCGGAAATACTGAATAAATACATTCAGTATTTTTCTTATAGACAGGTGTGCAAGTAGCGTAATAAATAACTGAGAGTTTAATGTTCTATTATTTTAAGCGCAAAAGTGAGACTAAAATTAAATGACAAATCAATACGTAAAATCAGTGCGTATGTTAAGGGCTAGTGTTAACTGGAAATTCTGCCTTGATGACTGAAAATTTCGCCTCATGAGTTTATTATAATGAAATAAGATTTGAATTTTTTTTTCATATTTATCCTGCAAGAGTTAATTTACGGGTTTTGCATGAGTTCATTCATAGTCTATGATGATGATATCGTAAAATGCTCTAAAGAGCGTAAAACTAAAGTGAATAAAGATTTAACTATTTTGTTCTCCAGATTTAGTACATTTTTCTTGTTTAAGTAAGTACAAAAATATTTTACTAATAATAAGTCATAATACTGAGAATTCCAGGACGAATTTCAAAATTCAGTAATCTTATCCTCTTGAGAAATGCATGCAAAAAATCCATGGATTTATTTCAATAAATTAAAAATTTTACATTAAATTTCTTGCTGCATTATATAAAGGGTTCATATTGTTGTAATATTTAGCTTCATAACTTGGAGAAGAAACAGTTTCGACAGACAGATCTAAAGCAGAGAAAATTATGCATGTTATGTACTTGAGATACGAAACTTACATTAGGATTGCCAGAAACCAAATCCCGTATGCTTTTCATTAGAGATGGTCTTTCTGTTATAATTCCTCTTAGCTTTCAAAAATTATAGTTCTATTAATACCGCAGTTGACCTGTAAGTTTTTTACTGATGTATTTTGTTTGTTTTCAAAGTGTTTTGTTAAGATTTGGCTTAAAAACGGCATTTATGACAAATGAAAATTGGCTTAAAATATAGACAGACCATGTTGAAAAATAAAGATAATGTCCGGACAAAATTTTTCAGTGTAAAAAGATAATGTTATGTTTCCATGACAATAGGCTTATAGGTACAAAAAATTGTGGCGAAATCTAAGCTGCAAAACAAGGTAGTCAGCTTATGAAGAAAAAACTCTGTACATAGGCATAGGGGATTAACTAGCTTCGAAACTCGTGTCTTTGTATTGCCATGAGAAGTGGAACATTTTAGGAAGTGAGGACATGTAAAAGGTAATTAAAGTATGCTAAAAATGACGAAATTATTAGAAGCTTCATTACTATAAATAACTAGCTTCTTGCTCGTTAATGCTACTAAACTTGTTTACTCCTTGCTTAGTGAAACAATGAAACATTATATTAGTCTTCTTTCAAGTTTCTCTTTTAGATTATTTTGCATCTCAAATTATGTTGAATATTTCTTATGATTTGAAGTTATTACTTCTAGTGCTATTTTTTTTATTATGCGTGGTCTTAATAATGTTTGAGCATACAAGATATTTTTCTCATTTAAAATAGTATAAAAATTTCAACAGGGAATGTATTACCATTCTTTCTATAGATACGAATAATGATTAATATCTTATACTCACCTACTAAATATGCCATATTTTCCTTGAGAGGCAAATCACAAAATGCCGCTGGTAGAAATCCTCCGAAGTGACTTTCTACTCCCCTTCAAGTAAATAAAATATTTCAGATAATATTATAAAATTTTTAATAGACTATTAATAATAATACCTGATATCTGAAATATTAAATAAGAAAGTCGAATGATTCAAGACAGACCTAAATAATATCAGTGTATCAAAAACGTATGCTGAATTTAGAACTGAATATGCAGTGTTCACCGCGGCTAATGTTATGCGCTTAGAGAAATAAAGTTTGTTTCGATTCCAAATATTTAGCTAAACCATCTGTTATTGTGATCATTCATTTGCTTTTAGTTTGAAAATCTAAGTCTTAAAGGGAAGCTTACAAGAAAATGTGGAGAAGACGAACCACTTTTGAGATGTCGTCAGTGTCCTTGATGAAAAATATTTGCGATGATGATATATGATTAAATTGATGAAGTTTATGTCCCAATAACGAATCGAAAAGCAAATGAATAGGTGCACAATAAAGAAAAATGGTTTCGTTTTTTGGATGGTTCACTCGATGGATGAAGAAAGTGAGAAAATATCACTTACGAACTCATGGGGAAAAGGTGATACATATTTTCTGCATGGGTTATAGCAAAATGGTCTAGAATTATTTCCAATTTTTCGCTTGAAAATACGTACAGAATTGATGAATATGAAATTGATTACTATGCTTTCCCAAAATACTCATATAGAATTGATCCATCACAGGGCACAAATCTGTTAACCAGTATATTTCGCTTTTGTGTTCCATGACTAGGACTGATAGAAAAGAAATAGTGAACAGGTATAAGCGGTAAAAGGAACAAGTAAATATAAAGTTATTATTAATGAATTGTTACTTCAAGTCCATGGATGAAAACGGCGATTTCTAATGACTGTTTAATGTAATAAGATGGTAGATATATTTGTCTTCTTGTATATCAGTGTGGAGCTTAATGTCGTCACTGATACTGAAGTATATTAAGATAATTCGTTTGCCTGTCAGTACAGTGAAATGAGATTAAGAATTGTCAAGGAGGTAGCAGAAGCGATGGAAGCGTTAAGGGCAAGTCTATAAGCAAATATAACGAATCTTCGTGATGCTTCGTGATTTAAGTTATTCATGGAATATGATGTAGTGTAACAGCTTTAAATAGTATTAAAATCTTGTAGTTTTAAATAATTTAAATAGATGAACATTAAGGATTTGTGAATGGCAATATTTGAAACCAGACTCGAGTGCCTCGTGCGACTCTCGCACGAAGAATGTAATTTATTTTTAAATGATAGAATATGTTTTCTCTTCTTGTTTGTATGTCGCCATTTTTGAGTGTTAAATAAAAGTTATTGCTGTGTTCCATCATTGGAGTTGCTTCATTTCGCCAAAGAAGCGTCACAATAGCAAAACAATCCAAAGTAGGTTTAAAAATCGAAGATTTCTGCTGAAATATCTATTTCTTCTTGAACAAGCGGAAATAGGTCTTCCAGAATCAACACACATGGCTTCCGCGCTCAGTTGAATATCCATGTGGGTTGGTGAAGACATTGTGGTGGCCAATGGATTAAAACTAAGAACGCTGCTACTCGGTCATGAGAAAAATAATAGTTGCAATTTCGAAGAAAAAATTACACGTAAAGAAACAACAAAGTCTTAGACCAGAGTGCAGATGCATGAGGTTTTATTTGTACCAGGGTGTTCATTAGAGATCAGCCAACTTTCAAATGCAGCACGAGCACAAAAATTCGTCAAAGATTGGCTTTGAAGAAATACATGTTTTTTTCTTTTTGGAACATGGTAAGTATATGCTTTCTAAAAACATATTTTTTTTAGCCTGTACGTTGTATTTAGGCAAATTATTGAAAGATTATTTTGCATAGTTGTTTTTATATATTTTTTAGCTTGTACGTTGTATTTAGGCAAATTATTGAAAGATTATTTTGCATAGTTGTTAATGGAAGTTGTATTAAAATCTAGAAGCCTGGGTGGCAGAGATTAATTGCGAAAACAGTACGTTTTAGCGTGACTAACTTTAATTGCGGACCAAATCTGTATTCACAGATTATGGGTAATTTACCATAGGTAAAAGTTAATAAATCAGCCCCATTTGGTGTTTCAGGTTTGGATCTATGTGATTCATTTTACATATCTTACAAGAATCAGAACGAGAATTATTCACCTTGATCCTTTGTGAGATTTCGCTTCTAATGCTGTTACAACCACTCTTAAGTGTTTCATGGCTAGACGCGGCAAATGTGCGAAAACATTTACTGATAATGCCTCCAATTTTGTAGGAACTACCGAAGAAATTTTACAATGTAATTAATTTGACAAAAATTTGGCCTCATAATTAATTCGCTTCCAAAGGAATAGACTGGATCTTCATCCCATTCGAAGGGCTACGTGAAGCCGTGTAAAATACGTAAAGCATCACTTAAAGAGAACGACAGGAAATTTACATTTTCCATATGAAGAGTTTAAAACAGTGATTGTGAAAGTGGAGGGATAACATCTAGAAGCCTAACTAATAAAATAAAATTTCTAACCACCGTATACTATGGTAGGATGAAAGCGGGGTTTTGATGTCTTAACATTCTGCTTCTTTTTTATTTTTGTTTTGAATAACTACTGAACATGAAACAACTAAACTCTGAAACAGCAACAGTCTTTATGCTTATTTTGATATGATTGGTAGTAGGATACAAAATATTATTTTACTTAATTTTGTAACTGGATTTTACTGGAATTAGAAACATTATCAGAGTTTTATGAGTTAGAATGTGTACTGTTGCCAGTGTATTATCAGTAAAATATTATTATCTCATTTAACTTTTGTTTCAATAATTCGTAGTTATAGTGCAGGAGTCTTCTAGATTTGACTGATATTGGAAGAGAACATTTCATTTTGATGGATAAAAACAATTGCAGAATACTGCAGAGCCCTTGTTAACAACGCTTCTCTATTTTTATAGAAGATATCATAAACGGTTATTAGCAGTAAAAATACAGCAATTCGTAAATTAAGATGATATGAGAAAGTAAAATATCCGAAATTAAAAAAGCTGTAAAGTCATTTCAGCATACTCCCAGGCAGATCAGGCCAGGATTTTTAAATTTAAGCCAGCAGTTATCTTTTTTTTTTTTTTTTTTTTTTTTTTTTTTTTGTAAATTATTATTTCTGTTCTTAGGTTCTCTGAATATATGTGAGGGAGGGAGCGATAAGCATTGCCAGTTTGATTGAAATCAGTTGCATTGCCAGTCTGATGAAAAGTGGTACAATACTCTAAAAACCTAGTTTTGCGGCTTATATACACTCATGTCCATAAATTAAGGATAATGCAAAATCAGGCAAAGGAAGAGTTAAAAGCAAAACAAATTTGACTTATTTGTAAAGCTTATTTATTAAACAAAAGGTAAAGAGCAAAAAAGATGCTATATGTTTGATATTATTAAAAAAAATTAGCGATTTTTTCTCCCTTTAAAAAAAAAAAAAAAAACAAAAAAAAAAAAAAAAAAAAAAAAAAAAAAAAAAAAAATTTACTACAAAAAAAAAAAAAAAAAAAAAAAAAAAAAAAAAAAAAAAAACAATATTGCATGGTTGATATGATTGTTAATACATTGTATGTCTCCCAGACGATGCAATACAGTCCGTACAACGCCTAGGCATGCTCAGTATCAAATTATAGATCTGATCTTGGGGGATATCACACACTCAAAAAGCAATGCTCTCCGAAGTTCCGGTAGACATGTAGGAGGAGGTTGACGGGCTGCAACTCGTCGGCCAAGCATGTCCCACACGTGCTCTACTGGTTTCAAGTCTGGTGAGAATGCTGGTTAGTCCATACGGGTGATATCCTCCGACTGAAGGCATTCGCTTACGATGTTTGCACGGTGAGGACGGACGTTGTCATCCATAAACACAATTTGTGCGCCCAGGGCGCCCCGAAACAAACGTACATGTTGTTCCAGAATGATGTCCCGATAGATTTGGCTTGTCATGGTTCCAATTTGAACATGCAGGTCAGTTCTGGAACCCAGAATTATTCCACCCCAAACGAGCACTCCTGCACCACCGTAACGGTGTCGTTCAATGATGTTTTCTTGGTGGTGACGGGTACCTGGAGGTCTCCATATGAAAGTCCGGCGAGAATCAGACTGCAAGCTAAACCTGGACTCGTCGGAAAACATCACACAAGCCCACTGTTGCGGTTTCCACATGCATGCTCTCTACTCCAGGCTAACCGCAGGCGACAGTGAGTTGCAGTAAGTAGAACGCATCTGACAGATCTACGAGCATATAGACCAATCTGCCCTAAGCGTCTGTGCACGGTATGCCTTGAAATTGTCGTACCAGTGGCTGAAGAGAGCTGACGAGACAGGTCTGAGGCTGTGCTCCGCCTGTTTCTTTTGGCAGTAATTGCCAAATACCGGTCCTCATTTGGCGTTGTAACTCTGGGGCGACCTGTGCTGTAACGTCTATTCACATTACCATCATCTTGGAATCGTTGCCAAAGCCTGGAGATGACACTCTGGCCAATTCCAAGTTCGTCTGATACTTCCAGTTGGGTACGCCCACATTCCAGACGGCCGATAATTCTACCACGTAAAAATCATCCAAATGCGTCCTTTGTGTCATAACTTTTCGGTTATTGCACTGAAATGCGAACAATTTTACTTCTTTGCCTGTATTCCTTATATATCACTCTCTTACACTCTCGTCATTGTGACGTACTATCGGTGTCATCTGGTTACTTCCTGAAATTTGCATATGATTCTTGAAGATGTGTGTAGTGATTTTACAGGTGATATATTTATTTTAGAGTTCGATTTCCGCGTGACTCCGAATTATCCTTAATTTATGGACATGAGTGTAGTATTAGACTGAAATAGGTTCTTGAAGGCATGAACCAAAAAAATTCGTAAATATTTTGCAACTTTCGTGAATTTCAATAATATTTCAAGAAACTTCGGTGATATTGTACCGATGTTAGTTATAATTTATAACAAAATTATGTGTCGTACTAAGTAGCACTTCTATACGGATAATACTCAAGC